ATTGTACTGTAGAAATCAATGAAATCTTTTCACGAAAGCTCCTTTTGAATTAAGATTTGCAAAAACTTTTACCTGTTTTCATATATCAGCTCATTTTTTATATTAGAAATAAAATTATTTTGAATATTCACTCACTATAGAAATCAATAAGTTTTATTTACAAACTCCAAATTTTATTAAATCAGTGACATCAGCTCATTTTAATTCATGTATACAAATGTAAATGATACTGCCTTTGCATACCACGTGATATGACGTCATATTTTGATGACATCATTATAGCTCTATCCCGCCAGCCGACATGTTTATCATTTTGTGTGATACGATCAATTGTAGGCCTATTGCGTGATAGCAGTCAAATTTCATTAGAATTAAGACCAATAAAACATTTTTTGGTCTTGCCTGTGGGACACTGCATTCGTGTGGAACTGTAAGTGGATAATCTGACTTCTTTTATGAAGATCAAAGTGTATATTTATGATATGAAAGATGATATTGTGCCCGGTTTGTTCATGATTCGACACGTGTGGTTATAATGAACGATAAAGGGTCTAGCTTATACAGGATGTGGATACATGTACTGTGCATTAAATGTGCCTCGTGCACATGCGTTGAATGCAAGTACAAAAATTTACAGGAAGTAAAGGAAAACTTGTGTTGACATTGAATCCTATTAAATAATATTCTGTGATAGAGCTCCCCCCCCCCCCCCCCCTATCAAAAAATGGGTCAAGATTAGACTGGGAATCTATTGTTGAGGTGACATTACACTTTTTGCAAATAAATTATAAAGTTCTGCTTTGATGCTATTTCGGAGGGGTTCTATTTTCGTTGATATAGAGTGACTGTGATATATAGTCTTTGAATAGAATATTTTCTGTGCGAGGCATGTGTTGATTTGATAATGATTGTATGACATATTTATGTCATATCATAGCATACGTGTACATGTATGAGCAGTGTGTTATGATGGTGGTTGTGTGCCGGGATGCCAAAAAAATGAAGCCACCACTTTTGTCCTTGGATTTAACAAAAGTCTGCATCAAATAATATAGTTTAGCCCTCTTAAATAAGTCTCCAAAGATTAATGAAATAATGTGTGTAAACTTCTACAAATTACCGTTATAAATCAAATGTCTGGACAAATATTGTCTTGGTATATTCTACAATTGCCACAGTCAATTTCTAGAATTTAGCACTAAACAAATTCCTATAAAATTCAACACTGTACAGTGTGCCCAATTCAATTTTTAAACCTAAAGTTCTTAAACCAATCACAATGAGCTATCTTTAATGCAATGAAGTACCGAGGCAGAGGCAGATATATGCCAGCAGAGCAGACATGTACATATACAGAAATAATTGTCCGGTATGGGGAATTCTGTAATAAAACTGACATTTGTCAACCTTCCCCATACACAGATGGTAACCCTTGCCACACTTTCTTATTTCATGTAAAATGATATTTATTGGAGGAAGTGAGCTGGGATGAGACTCCCGGGGGCTGTTTCATGAAACTACCTCCTTCCTTGACTAGTCTGCAAGCACAAACCCTAGTCAGTTGTAAAAGTGAGTCTGCACTATAAGACTACCATAGGCCATGTACTGAAGCTGCTCCTGACACTGACACAACCAGTAGGTAGCTGGGCTAGCAGAGCTGCCAAGTCTCCCGGATCCTGCGGGAGACTCCCGGATTTTGACCCAATATCCCGTTTTCCCGACCCCATGCAAAAATCTCCCGGATTTCCAGATTTTAAGTTGTATTATTTTCATAAACGACTGTTTCACAAGACTAGCATGTTGAGTTCGTACGTACGTATACAAACACACGGCAATTCTGTAATATGAATTTTCCTGTTATCCAGTCGTCGAATATAAATTTACCGTGATATCGTACTTTATTTAACAGCGTAATAAATGAGAGTTACGCCGAACGACTGGCGGGCTAATCTAACAAACCATTGGGAACATGTGATAATGTGAGTGGTGTTTGTGTGATAGCAATTCGCCTGCTTGCTCTGCCGGGCGGCTTCCTCGCCGGCCCCCGTAGCGTCCCGGTACGTTGGTGCCGGTTTCCGATCGGTCGCGTCAGAGCAGCCAGAAGTTGCACTGATACAACAAGCAGACTTTGTCTGCTGCGATCGGCCCAAAAAACTGCACATTTCAACATCAGTTTTTGGATTGATTTGGTGACTTTTGCGATGTGATTTTTAAGTGGATTATCATTTGATACCAACATGGCAGTGTTACTGCAGAGTGGATTTTGAAGCCGACTTTTTTTTTCTGATCTCCTTTGCCGTTGGGAACGCATCGATATAACTTGCATCTTCCGAAGGCGTAAGTCAACTTTGTCCAAAACAAGGCTGTATTTTGCTCTCTGTTTGAGTATTAAAATATCATCCAGGACAATGTCGAAGTCGAAATATTATCAGAAATATAAAGATGACTACCACTTGGAATGGCCTTGTGTTGGGAAATCTACGAAAGGCGAATACTACGCATTTTGTACAGTTTGCGGCGCAGATATCTCCATCAAGAGTGGGGGAAGAAATGATGTATTTCGCCACATCACATCTGACAAACACAAGCAAACCGCGAAAGCAAGGGGCAATACAAAAGGAATACAGAGCTTTTTCAGGTTAGTATGAACAGTTCTTAGATTTGTAAAATCGAGAAATAGTCTACCCCTCTATACCATAGACCTGAGTTCATTTCGTCAGTAGTTGGGGACCTCATTAATCTCCCTAAAACTTAGACTTACTCATAAACACGTGTGCGGGACTTGAAGGGTGGATTTTCTCACGATTTTATGTTTTTATTTGAAATACTAATCTGCACGTTGACTGTTTTATGCCAGTATCATGAACTTTAATAGTTTGTTAGGTTACACACATTGCAAGACAATAGCATCATTTTTATGAATTGCTTCGATCCTTAGTTTTGAAAATTCGAATTTGACCGTTAAATCGTATTTAGCGCCCTCTCTCGGTAACAATGATGTTTTGTTAATTATCTGGCATATGCAAGGTTATTTAAAAGATTTGACCACAGAATGATAAAAAAGAATAAATTCTGAAATTTGCACAATACCAGGTTGAAGACTTTTCAGGGGAACCAGAGATCCTGAACAAAAACTTGAGAATAGACAAGAAATGGTCTGCAATTTCAAAGATGGAGGATGGCAATGGCTCAAAGAAATACACACTTCTGAGCAAAGTGATGAAATCTTTGCTTGTGATACCACATTCCAATGCTTCATGTGAAAGAGTTTTTAGCATTGTTAGGAAGAACAAAACTGATTTCAGGGGATCAATGAATTTGAAAACACTTCAAGCACTCCTAACAGAGAAAATTGCCAACACAGATGTCCCATGCTACCAAAGGGAGTATAGCAAGGACCTCCTTAGCAAACTCAAGCAAGCAACCTACCAGTCACTTCAAGGAAAACCCTCAAGCACACCCCAGTCCTTGCCTTCCACAAGTACATCCCCCATTTCACAATAGAGGTAACAGGAGTTCATAGTCTGAAATATGATGTGAAGTTCATATGTTATCAATTGTATGCAAATAAAATGTGCCATATCAAAGCCTTCCATTTTGAGAAATCATTGAAAAAATGTGTTCTAAAAGGGTTTCAAAGAGGCTTAAAACCAAGAGCTTTTGGGGCCTGCCCCCTGCCCCCCCCCCCCCCACCAGGGGCACTAAAAGGCCATTCTTGGTTCCCGCCAACAATGAAGTCGTTCGATGCTGCTCTCTCAGAAATCTCCCTGATTACCCAAATCAAATGTTGGCAGCTCTGGGCTAGACTTCTCTCAAGGCACAATGATTTGTTGATAAAGTGTCAAATTAGGGTCTGTGCCTGCAGACTATTCCTTGACAGTCATATCTTTGTCAGTGACCTACGGGGATGTCAGGAACCGGACAACCTGTTTCACAAAACCATGATCAGCAACAAATTCATGATTTTGATACTATATAGTCTTTGTAACGATCCATCAGATTTTATCCTGAATTATCAAGAGACTACGAGGCTTAAATTCATTCAAACTGTTTTAAAAGTAAAAACTAAGAGATTGCATGCATGGTAGCACAAATGATACAAATTACATCCAATCTGCACAAAAACATGTGTTATAAAAGACATCTACAATGATGAAACTCACTTTGACGTGTATTGCATATAAAGCGTGCGCGCTACATCAGTTCTCCGTGCGATACGTCACAACCCGTAAGTTTTGAAGGGAAATCTTAACAAATTGGCAGCTTCACGACGTTGTAAATATGGCAAAGCAGGGTCTTTTTATTGTACTTGCAAGACGATATTATTTGGCCTACAGCTATGTTTTTTATATTAAATGAACTGTTGTTTTACTCTCTATATCATGATAATGCTTCGTAGTTGAGAGATTAATTCTCCTTTAAAGGTAAAGACCAGTATTGGTAACGCCCCAATTTCAAAAAATGAAATGGAAGCTCTCATTACCAATCATGTGAAAGAATATGTTTTGACTAATACATGATGATAAAAAATTTGCCGGGAAACCGCCTACTAATTCATATATTTGGTAAATTTATTTCTCTCATGGTCGTGTGAGAGAGATAGGGTAGTCCCATATACATCTTTCTGTGTATAGTGCTTGTAACTTTACGAAGAATGGGCCAAATTTCTTATCATTTTGATGATTCCAGAACCTTGCAGATGCTAGATGCTAGATGATCAACCTTTTCTGATCGATTCCACAACGTTTCTTTCACAATGCAATCGCATGACCATTACTGGTCTTTACCTTTAAGTTGTGCATGTAAGTAAGTAAGTAACTATACATTTTCAAATTCAGTGAATTCATATTTTTGGTCTCGCCCTAAATGAGTAGTGGGCATCTTCGATCAGTGAAAGTCACCATTATTTATTTTGCTTATTAAACCAGTATGCTTATACATGTACCGTACATGTAGACTTATGTAAATATTCTTGTTAAAAATTTGATGTTTCAGAGGAATGACCTTCAGCGTCAAGAATTAGCAATGGCAAGGAGATATTACAGCCTCACTCAGGTATGATCTGGTTGGCTATGAAAGCCTAGTCTTACTAAAAGTTAATTTTGATGAAAATTGGAGGTTAATTGTCTGGAGATATCAAGAACCATGTTGGCTTTAGCTTTGAATGTGGTATCTCCCTGTACCAGGACAAGAAATGAGTAGACATGGGAATCTGCAGGCCAAAGGTCAAATTTCTTGGATCATTTAAAGGGATAGTTGATTTTTGTTGCAGAGGGCGTTACACAAATCATTTTTTTGTGAGATAACGAAAAACTGAGTGTCAAATTTGGAAGAACATACAATTTAAATAACAGAATCATCTTTGTTTGATCAAAATCGGTTCAGAGACAGCTGAAATATCCATAAATATAACGATTTCTAGTTTGTGGTGCCCCACAAATATTCAATAATTTGAACCAGCCATTGAAAAAACAAGATAGCATCTTATACGTTTTATTCCAGCCAATTTTGGTATGAACTTGCACTGGAATGCAGTACTTCGAAAAGAAATTAAATGTTTTTAAAGATCACTTTTGTCAGCTTTTGTCAAAAATCCTCAAACGTCTCATTGTGACATCTGAAAAATTATTCCTGGTGTTCTCTCCAAAATAAATATGCATCATAAGGAAACAAACAGAGTAGCTTTTAGGGGTAATAAAGGGAATATACATTTGAAAGCAAATGAGCATAGCAAGCACTCTTAGAAAGCCAACAGGGTAGATCAGTGAAGAACCTGTAGCCTTATATACAAAATGCAAAGTGTTAACAGTGTTTTGACATATTTATCAATTTGATTTTTTTTCATGCTAACAGATGGAGCAAGAGAAATGCAGGGCTTTGGTGGATGACTACCTATCTGGAAGTAGAATTGAATTTGAAGGGGTTTTGCTAGAACTCATCTACTTCTTTAGTGTAAAACGCTGTTGGACTCCACGTCGTTACGAGCAAGGTGAGGAGGCTATTTGTCTTGTTTTTCATTTTACAGTTGACAATCATAATCAGCAACCACATGAAAGCCTTTCATATCAGCTCTGACAAATCCAAGAAGCAGAACAATAGTAAGAATGTTGATGTACTTCTTCGGTGTGACTGGTGGAGGGGGGTTGAGACGTACATGTAGATCGTAGATTGTCTTTCTTTTTTATGTGTAAATATCAAGAACCATACTCAAGAAATGTATAAACCTCTTCAAAAAGAAGCAAACTGAAATTTATCCCCCCAAAAAATAATAACCAATTGTCCAAAAAAGGAAAGAGAAGAGTAAAGTAAAAAGAAGTAAAAAGGGAAAGGGGAAAGGAAGAAAAATAAGCAACCTGCAACCCCCCTCCCTCCAACAAAAGACCCAATTTTTTTGTTGTGGGGGGGGGGGGGACAGGGCTTCTCGTAATGAAAATCTAGATTTACACAATTTCTCTACATGCACGCACTGTACATTTATTAGTACACTCTTTACTGGATTCTTTTCTCTTCCACAATGTGCACACTATTGTTATTGTAGCACAGGCTCTAACCTTCTTCCAGGTGGAATATTTATTTCACTGCTGTCAAGGAAATCATGCTCTAAGCCAGAACATGAATTCAGATCTTTAGTGGTGACCGAATTGCACTATGATGAATCATTATGCCTAGATGCCAGGGTAGCTATAGTCCACAAACCAAAATTCAAACATTTAAATTTGCAACTTGGAAGGAGTATGAAATGATTGGCATAAAGTGCTGTAAAAGTCCCTTGCAGCCATGTTCTAGGGCCTACATGACTTGTGGGCTCCAGGATTCTTAGATGCTCTCTGATGCAATTTGAACTTATTTTCTAACTAGCTGTCATTTAAAAAAATTTGCCGCCTTTTTCCATTGTGAACCACTTGACCTATTCCCCTCAATTCTCATTCTGTTTTAGAGAGTGCACTTCTTGTGATTGAAGTGTGCACGATCATGGAGGATCACATACGATACATTTGGAACAATTTTCAGAATAGTGACCAGGTACATGTACCGGTAAGTTATAACAACGTTATCGTATCATTAGGAACAACAAGAAGATTTTAATGTGATGTGTATGGCAATTCTTGAGCTCCCGTAATATAATTTCAGAAATATTGTACCGGTAATTTGTGCTTTAATGTCTAATATCTTAAATGAGTCTCCTGTACATACCCTATTTAATGAGAGCAAAAATTATTTTTCTGATGGTCAAAGAAAGATGAATTGTTTGTATTCTTAAAGTAAAATCAAAGGCTCATTATCTTAGTTAAAAATGGACATAAGGTGCAATGAGAAACATGCCTCCGAAACGAAGTAGCCGGAGGCATTGTTTTCAGCTTGTGTTTTCAGCTTGTCTGTACGTCCCATTTTTGTGATCGCTTAATCTCAAGAACTGATTGATGGATTCCCGCTTACTTAACTTAATCATGTATGTATCTTGCAAAGCCAATGAACTGATTAGATTTTGAGGTCATGAGGTCAAAGGTCATGGGGCTCATTATGTATGAAAAAATAGCTTGTGATCGCATTATCATTGGAGCCGACGGATACTATCAAATTATGTATGCAGAGCCAATAAACTGATTTGAATTCTAGGGTTATGAATTGGTCAAAGATTAAAGGGTCATCTGTAAAATAGCTTGTAATCAAGATATTCTGAGAACCTGTTAATGGGTTGCAATCACACTCGAATTTTAAAAATTGCTACTGTTTTGGTTTGAAAAATCGCTCTTTGGTGGAGGCAACATTTTCGACTGTGCGCAGCTAGTCGAAGATCCATCTAGTCTTTATCATAATCATATCTAATCTTCTGTTCTGCTAGTGAATGCACTTGGAGAGAAATTAGCTTAAAGCAGTTCTAAATCCATATTGTACAGTATGTTATAGATGGACCTTCCACATGTATTACAAACTAGTGGAATTTGCTTGATGCCGATTTTTATGATTGCATGCCATCTTTAGAATATAAGGCATTTGAAGAGCCATGCTTTTCAGGGAACGTTCTTCCACATGCACTTGCATAATACAATGATAACACTCACAATTTATATTTCACCTCTTCCCAGTACTCAACCTTCCCTTTAGATCAAATTTAACAATTACCAGTAACAAATTTGTCCTTAAATCCTTGAAAATATCTTTATGCAAAAAAATATTGGCTGAAATACAGAAATAACTACATGTACATTTATATTGCACAAGTATTATAGGGGATGCACAAGGGGCCTACAAAGTAGTTCATGTATAATATTACCCTTGCTTTCATTCATCTTTTAAAAAATAATTTTTCTTAAAAATGATTCATCTTTCAGCAAAATATAATTTGCAAAAGGAAAATTCAACAAATTATCATTTTCAAAAGGAAACATGATTTCTGTAAAGACAAACAGTTTACAAGAAGACGGATGGTTGTTTAGAAGACGAATAGCTTGGAAATAGCTACATGTAGATGAATGATTTGTGAAAAGACATAAGAAAACAGATGAAAGCCTTAAAAAGAGACATGACTTGAAAACAAGACAAATTATATTTGCATGATTTTAAGATGGACGAATGACCACGTTTTGTTTCCCTTTTGGCTTGCCATACTGCTGCAAATGGGAATGAGACTTTCTTTCCGTTATTAGCAGAAGTCAAGATTACATTTGCTGCTGGTTTATTTTGTCATCTTATCAAGAAGTACTCTTTTCCTTTGTCTTTTCTATTCCATTGTTCTACATTGTTCTACAGGAAGCATTGCGTGGTTTGCTTAGGGCAGGAGCCATGGGTTGTATGACAGTACCGAAATTTCAAGACGAGCTTCAGCTAATCCATTCTGGTAAGACTTCTATCATATACATGTGATAGATTACAGGGTCTTTAGGAAAGAAAGGGGTCTAAATATGCTTTTTGTAAGGACCTGTTGTTAACTTACTGAGCTGTATCTATATGCAGTGATATTGACCAAGTTTGCTGATCCATGAATTTGAGATGGTAGGATTATGAGAGAGAGGTTCGAATCATATATCGCATCGTCCTGAAAATGACACTCGTTTTCAACGCTTTTCAAATCATCCATCGGAAGTTCTGACATCAGAAAAAATATTTCTAATGTGAATGTTATAATATAATCTTGTATCTGATAAATTTTTATGTAATTCCTATGATGCTTAATATGAAATTTTTGGCCCGAATTGTGCTCTGTCACTGCCGAGTCGATCATAATTGTGTTGGGATTATTGCTGTGCGTGGGTGGATACAAATGTGCATTGCCCCACATGTTATAATTCATGTAGTGAGATGAAGAAATATGCGACGGTGAAAAAAGAAATGTTTTTCTAGAAAAAATTGGATGACTATCACATCAAGTTCGAAGTCAGGTTTTCAGTTCGATTGAAAGATTACAATACAAACTTGGTACATATTGCCTGAAACTCCTCAATTAAATCCCAGTATTAGAGTTATATTCACAAGCACTGCAAAATATTCCCTTTTTTAAGAGTTACACACTACCTTTTGTTTGAATGCCAATAGCCCGCTACTCAGCAAAAGCATAAAAATACATAGTAACTTACATGTAGCACCCAAGCCATGGTCTTGTGGGATTCCTCAAAATCATAATATTTGAAATGCAGGCCTGATAAAAACCCGATTTAAATCGGTTTCCCGATTTTTTTTATTTTTCCCGATTTTTTCCCGATTTTTTTTTCTTCCCGATTTAAAAAAAAAAAAAAAAAAAAAAGATTTTTTTTTTTTTTTTTTTTTTTTTTTTTTACCAGATTTTTTTTTTCTTCCCTTTTTTATCCTGATTTTCCTGATTCCCCCCTTATTTTCTCTATTCTTCCCTATTTTGCCCTATTTTTTTCTCCCGATTTTCTTACTCGAAAGGGGGGATGTTGTTAGATGCCGTTTTTTCCCCGCGAATCGCCTTTTTTTTTTTTTTTTACTCAAGGGGGGCGTGGTTGAGGGGAAAACAAAAAACCTATTTTTTTTTTAGTGCTCACTATCACCCCTGGACGGTAGGGGATTACATATCCTCTGTTTTGGCGCCCGAGCTGGCCCAATAACAAGTCGCAGTTACGAGCATTAGCTCCTTGAAGTACACAACCCCAGTGAAAAAGGCGAATTTTCACGTGACCTCCATAGAGAATTCACAAAGTAAATGATTGTTGTCCCCTTTTGAAGACGAAAAGGCCCTAATTTCTAGTGAACAAATCACTTCGAAATTGGTTTCAATGGGAAGAACAGTAATTGAATATGTGATTTCCATCCGAGCTGATGTGAAATCAAAGTTTCTTTTCATTGTAGGAGCATTTTTTTGCACACTTAGCGCATTTTCAAAGAAGATTTCACGTGTTGTAGACCGCGGAGCGAGTCCGCGTTTAGCAGATGCCCGAAATTTGTTCATATGCTGTAGGCGCTATTTGTAATTCATCAAAATTTACAGGGACCGAGCACCAATAAATTTTTGTATTCAATTTTTCTCGAAAGCAGATCGAAGTGTTTTAGGGGCTAAATTTTCTAGTGCTTATAATACATCCACAGGGGCATCCAAATACCGGTATATCAAAATTGTAAAGAATTATCAACTCAATTTTCAAAATTTCCAAAACTCCGTATTACCTTTTAAGAAGATAAAAAACAAATTTCCTTTTGGCTTGCGTTAACTGCTGCAAATGGGAACGAGGATTTCTTTCCATTTTTAACAGAAGTCAAGATTACATTTCATTCCTCTGGATGATTTTGCCTTCTTATCAAGAAGTAATTGTCTCCTTTGTCTTTTCTCCACTATTCTACACTGATAGAAAGCAGAAAGATTGCACTCTTTGCTTGGTAGAGGATGCGCAGGTGATAGAACAACAATGGCTTTTGTAAGAGAGCTCGAGCAAATCAGAGTTGATGGTAAGACTTATTTCATATACCTGTAATAGATACCAGAGTCTTTAGGAAAGAGAGGGGTTAAAATATTATTTGTAAGGACCTGCTGTTAACTTATTGTGCTGTGTCTATATTCAGTGATATTGCCCAAGTTTGCTGATCCATGAATTTGAGATTGTAGGATTGTGAGAGAGAGGTTTGAATCATACAGCTGCTACTGGTAAAGCTGCTACTGGTAGTTGTCTGTCTTTCACTTTTAACAATGCATGCATACCAATGCCTCTCTAATCCAACATTGGATAATGACACAGGTTAAGTATGTGAGCCCAAATAGCCTAAGTTTTCTATCCAATGGTCTGAGTATTATTTCCCCATGTGTTATACACAAAGCATTTAGACGTACATGTAGGGCTGTAATTGGAACGATCGATCTCCCCCACTCCTTAGAAATACATTGGGTATGAATCTGAGTGTCGTTAGGTTCAGTAATTAACGGTACAAGTCTTTTCTTTTTTTATTAAGAATGTTAATAACATTTGATCTTCATTATAAAGAGAAGACAATACCCATAACAGCTCGGTGCTATTGTAATGAAGCTTTGTAAAATTGCTGATGGGAATACTTATTCAACATTCTTCTCTTTAATAGAGCCATATAAGACGAAGACGAAGAACATGCAGACAAAAAAGAAGAGGATGGAGAAGAAGAAGCAGAAGATGAATAAGGTGCATGATCAAGGACAAGATCCAGGAAATGAGCAAGGTAGTAGAGCCATGGTATGTCATAGCAGAGGCCCCTCTACAATTGGACGAACCATCCATGGGGGAATCAAGACAATCGAGGCATTCAGATTCGGTATGTCCACGTCAGTGAATTTATCTCTGATGAAACTTGTAATGATCAATAATTACTGGGTATGCTTCAACTATGCATCAGAACAAAATGTACATGTACATGTTAGTCAGTTTGGACATTTCAATACTCACAAATTATTCATTTTGAGACATGAAACAAACACAGGCTGCTGAAATTAAAAACAGAAAAACCAATGATATGGCATTTGGAGATTATGTGTTCATCATAAATGTTGCACAGAAACGCAAAGGTGAAAGTGTGAGAATAATGACACAAATAAGGCCATTATGAATGTTTGAAATTTTTGGCCACCAATTAATGCATGAAAATGTCAAATTTGTAAGATGGTCATGTGATTTTGATGAATTAAAAGATATTGTGAAGTGGTGAATAGTAGCCACCTTATGTATCAACAGAAAACTTTTGAAACTTGGCATGCTGCTAGTTGTAATTTTGAAGGAGAGTGCAAATAAACTAAGTTGGCTCAAGAGTTTGGTTCACATTTTAATTGGAAGCATTTGCAATTTTACAATATTCAATGATCGTTGTAGCGGTTGAACTCGAGTCTAAAGTGATGAAATTGTAAATAAACTCTTTATGTTGTATAGCTCCCTCTCAAGACTGATATTACTTTAGCTTTAAAACAATTTTTCTTGACTCGATCACTCAACCAATTTGCTATTCCCATTTGGAAATTATATGTCAGAACTGCATATTCTTAAATTTTCATGGTCGCAGCTACCCTAGGCGCTATTTGAAATATTTGTATTTACACAATTGAATTTGATTATTCAATTTCTCGGAAGCAGGTGTTTTAGGGGCCAAATTTTCTAGTGCTTACGTACATCCACAGAGGCATCCAACTACATGTATATCAAAATTTAAAGAATTACTATTCATCCAATTTTCAAAATTTCCCCAAAATTTGCATCACCTTTGAGGGAGTATAATTAGCCAGTTTAAAATTATCACAAATTACCCCAGATTTCTACAGAATTCTCAACAGTGCATTTTAGAAAAATTCTCAAAGTGATGGAGGCACTTAATAAATAGCTGATATATATATATATATATCTATTGCAACACTGGTGCAGAGATGAAAAATGATTCCATGACCTCATGCATAAACATGTTTCCAGTACTCTTGAGTATCCAGTCTCAATAGATTTTGTCAGTTTCGTACAAATGATTGCTATCTGCTGTTGTGCTGATTGTAACTTAAAACCAACATATTTTCAGGTATTTATGCGGTTCTCCAGGCTACGGCAGACTAAGGCCATGCAGACTCTTTGCTACTTCAAGTTCCGATCCTGACACTCTTGGGATGACCACATCTTTTCCCACGCAGGCCCATCTCTCTGGAACAATCTTCCTCTTCTTCTTCGCCACGCTTCCTCTGCAGATAAGAGTTACATAGGCTACTACCTTTTGCTACCTTTTGCTTGAATGAAGTAGCCCACTATATGCAGCAAAAGCATAAAATACGTAGTAACTTACATGTAGCACCCAAGCCATGGTCTTGTGGGAAACCTCAAAATCATTCTATTGAAAATGAATGTAGATTTCATTTGATTTCTTACCTGCTATGATGTTGCATACATAATTTTAGCAATTTACTGAAATAGCTGTTGTATGTATCTTCATCAAACTTTGAGAAAGTTTTCTATTTTTTAGAAACATTTTTTTAAAACAAAGTGCATAGTCTTATTATAATATTATGCTCAGTCATGGGGGGGGGGGCACCCGTCTTTAGTCTACTAGATCAGTGTTTTTCAACCATTTTTTTAGTCACAGTAGAAAAAGTTACGCTTCACCACAATCCATCATCAAACTATCCAGTGTGATCGATGTAGCATCTAGCGGTTCCTGACACTTTGTTTCCATGAATTTGACTTTATTCCAAAATGTATGTTTAACATAAGTACAATAACCTCGCACTAACCCGGTTAAAATTTTGAGAACAATGACACAAATAATGTCATTTTGAATATCTGGAAGTTTTGGTCACCAAATGCATGAAAATTTCAAATTTGTAAAAAAAATTAATGGTCAGGTGACTTTGATGAATTAAAAAAAATTGTGAAGTGGTGAAGCTGCTTGTCTAGTTGTCTATAATATACTAAATAGTACAGATTATCAAAAGTGCTCTTCAATAAAAAAAATAAAATGTAAAAACTATTTCTTGTTCGAGAATGGAAC